TGAACAAGAAAGATCTTATAGTAGTGTTCTCAATAGTTTAGGTGTAATTTATGATGGTATTGGTAATTTTGAAAAAGCATTCGATTATTGTCAAAAATCGATGAAAATATTAGAAAAATTATCCTCTGATGATGACAGTGCTAATGCGTATAATTATGAAATATTTGCTAATATATATTTGTATAATGGTGAACAAAAACTGGCGTTAGAATTTTATAAAAAATCATTGAATTTATTTAAAATTACACGTCCACATGATAGTTTAAGTAGAGAACGAGTAGAAAAGAAATTAGTAAATATTAATTCAGAACAAACAAATTTGGAAATATAAAACTAATTGGATATCGTATTCAAATACTACAACAAACCTGCATATGCCACGACAACAAGAAAATCAACCGAAAGAGGATTACAGAAGGATGAAAAGGTAATTGAAAAATGTGGTGAGTTGCGAACCACAGTTTTAACTCGCATTCGTGACCTCAATACGGAACGAATGTTTAATCTATATCTCAAGTAAACGTACATACTCGCCTGTATATATTACAACCAATGAAAAAACTTTACGAGAAAACACACATTTGCTTAGCATGGATGTCATCAAAATCAAGCCCGTGAAGTACGGCTATTGAATTGGACGCAAGAAGACATCTCCCTAAATAAAAATGTGCATCAAAATAACATATTCTCAAAGAATAAGTCACATTTGAAAGGGTTAATTCTAATGCAACATAAAAGTGCTATTCAAGGAAATACTCCGATGGACTATGTAGAATTCCCGAGAGATCAAATGCGATAGTGGAAGAAAAAGTTGAAACGATGCACAAGGACGGTATCATACAACATATGTTATCATCATGGACGTCTTTAAATATCCTCATGAAAAAAAAAGGTAGTTTGGATCGTTTCTGAATCGGTTACGGAAAAGTTATATGGTCTCTAGAGAGTAGCAGATGCCTATGGCACCCACCGACAGGTGGCTTCCATCACACCATCTGGCAATTATAAACTTACAGATGTGTGCTCCTTTTTTTTTATTTTTGACTGTACTAGACGAAGTGGTGCGCCGTAGCGATGAAGATCTCAGATCCAGGGACGATGTCGACGATGTGCATCGCTGCCCGTGCGATGCCAAATAATGTCAGATTTGTATCGGTGAGCGCAGACGCCAGAAAAATTTATTATTCCAGCATCTCTGCGCATCAGTGTTCAATATACGATGCGCTCACCTACCACCAGACATATTGATGCACATCAATACCAAATTAATGCGAGAAAAACTGTATAGATGCACATCGAAGCGAAACTGTTTCTAATTTGTGCATCGGTGAGCATAGGTGCCACGGCAATCCCATTAAAAAAATTTTTATAGGGAGATTTTCTTACTGCTCGTCATAGTTACTGCTGTGTAGTTTTTAAATATATAAGTCATGCTAGGAATCCACTCATTTTCGATTTTTTTGTTAGTAACATAGTCTAATATTGTAGGTTTGCACTTGATTCACCGTAATAGATGTACCGTAGTGATGCCACTGAAGAACTGCACTGTGCACTTGATTGTGTGCAGTTTTAAATAATGAGTACAAACAAACTTCGCGATCTTCGAAGTTTGCTGCAATACCTTTTTAGCAATAGAGTTGTAACTTTATTGTGAAAAATATTTTGTATGGATAATGAAAATACTTTAATATTCTTATTAAATTGAATACAACACTTTTTCGTGTTATTTCAAATAAGTCTTTCTTTTGTTTGAAATAGTGATATATACCGTTGACTGTAAAGGAAGCGGTCTTATTGAGTTAAAAATGCCTGTATGTCCGCGGACTAGATGCTAGCGACACACAAGCTAGTAGCGCAAAACTCGATTAGATGACAACGATATGGAGTAGGTAGTCGACTATGGGCAACCTCTGTGTTGGATTCTGTTGGTCGAAAATCTTATTCCCCAGTGCTACAGCCAATTTGCACCTCGCTAGTTTCGTCAGGACGTCAGTTACAAATTTACGAGGACATTTTTCGAAAATTCCTTTTCGTTGCTGAGAAAAGTGAATTATACTTGGAAAAATCGAAATTCTGATTTTCACAATTTTGTCCATGAAAACTCAACTTTCACGCAATGAAAATACCATAGCCGGAATCACCATCAAAAACCAAGTCGAATGATATATATTTCAAAATTTTTCGTTGATTTTCATTTTTGGTGAAAATCTAAGTAATAATTCTTCGACGCGAAAATTCAAAGTGAAAAATTAATTTCACTTAAATTTTGAATTAACTGCATCTTACATATGTAAATGTCAGGGGAGGCGCGGAAGCGCACTCTTGGACCTCAAGAGTGCATAGAATCCACATAAATCCAATTCCTTGGGAGACTGAGTGCAACTGTTAAGTTTTACGTTCTCTTATATTTGGATTCCGCTAATTCTTATTTGTACCATAAAAATAAGGCTGAGAATGTGTACCACCCATAGAGAGCGTACTTGGGGCCAAGTACGTGGACTAAGTACATCGTCTGCACAATGAAGCCGGTGCTTGCCTGTTTTCCAGAAGTAAACTTACTAGTAAGTACTTCCTTATTTGCCAAGTACTTTCAGAAAGACTTTTTAGCAATAAGGCAAGTATGTCGATCATGGACAAGTACTTAGCAAGTAATCAAGTACGTTCTCCAGAGACACTATTTATTTCCACAGAAAAACAGATGAGTTGTTTCTATTCTTTCTCGCTGGTTTCAGTCACTCGGGGTAATCTATCCGTTCATATGCGATAATTTTGTTTGATACATTAGCGCAAAATCGACTTTTTATACGGGGAACAGAATTGGTCCAAATTTGTTTTCTGAAGAGCTTATTATGTGAATCGACGAGCAGCAAAGTATCTCTCGATTCAAATCACATTTCGCATTTTGGCGCGAATAGTAGCGCGTTTCAAGTGGCGCCACTATTCGCGCCAAAATGCGAAAAGTGAGTGTTATTAATTTTTATTTTAACATACGAGTTTTTTAATTCAGTATTAGTCTTGTCTTTAACACGTAAAAGGGTCCCAAGCATCTGAAAACTAGGTGCAAAATATTCGCACTGTTTTAGAGAAAATTAATGAATAGGTAACTCTTGGAATATTTAAAAACTGCTATCAGCAAACTTCTGTCGTTAGGCCTTTTAATTAGTATTTTTAAAAGATGGCGCATAAAGCGACTATAAAAGCGCTTGTGGCTACGTACAACTATTTTATTTGTTTTGTACGACAACCAATAGAAATTCAAGATGGCTGACATGCCTAAAATTCTACAATAGCACTCCTTCTGCTCAAAAATAATGCGAAGCAGTGCAATTTCTTGCATAATTGTTGAAAAGAAATCCTAATGGCAATTCTCCCGCCAAAAGCGAAAGAAATAGACCTGAGTGTCAATTATAAGTGCGAATCTGGCGGCAATCGCTTTAATTATTTATTTAGTTTCTGGCAATGTTGTCAATGAGATATTTTTTATATAATGTATGCGCGTACTCTGCTTTTCCATCCGCAGTCTAGTTTGTGCTAAAAGTATACAAAGTATACCGTATGGATCGTAAAAATTACTGTGACACTGGAGCTGTTTTGGATACAAAGAGAGTTAATTTCTGGTTCCTAGTGTCAGATGGTTGCCCTGCAAAGCATAGTGTGGATCTGAATTTGGAATAAATTTGGAAGATCTGAACGGGAGCAAAATTTGAAAAGTAGCCCGTTTTATTTACACGAGCGTTATTCGTTAATAGAAACGCTGCCTCCTCTTAGAATTGTTTTGCACTGCAAGGCTGAATATGCTCTTTACTCTGAAACCATATGTTTCGCACAACGATAGGAATTTATGTTAGAATTCTGTGCAGTATCAACGGTAAAATTAGAGAGCTCCGAGCGACTAAGGGTTTCTGAAAAACCTATTAACAAAAATATACTTTTAGGTTTTATCGATCTTATAGTCATGTTTAGCGGACAACATCAATCATATCCTGAGGTTTTGAGCTTGTTAGGATGTTTTTTGAGTGAATAGTGAATTTTTTAATATTAGGGAAAAACAGCCTGAAAACTCTACTCGTAAAACTGGCTTTTTGATCGATTTTTAAAACTTTTTCTAAAAATAAATATTCTACAAAACTCAGTATGGTCGATTACCCATAGTCCATCAGTCTCTAAGGCTACCAGTAGTCACTGGATGCCAGTCCATGGACCCGTAGGAAATCCGATACAACGTCCGAACCACGGAAAATCAAGATCAGACTTCACTCCCATTTTGGATACCCCGAGCTCTCAGCCCATGACAAAAAAGCAATATAATCCTATTGGGAAATCTTTACAGATGGTCTAGTTTTCCAAAGATGTTCTAGAAAGTCTATTTTAGAAAACTCTTCCGAAAACAATGTTGGTTATGAAAACATGTCTCCAAGTCTCCTCTTTCGAGTGGCGAAAATCGCAGCTCTCTCCCTCATTCCTGCCAAAGCTTATTCCCCTAGAGATCAAATCTTATATAAGATTCCTATAGGAATCTTACAGAATATCTGCAAGAATCTTATAAGGCAGTCGATGGAAATGCGTAATTTATGTATAAGAATCTTATATAAGAAACTGATAAGA